GCCAGGCACTGTTAGAGGATTGCCTTTCTGTAAAGATGGGTTTGGCGCTGCAAATGCACAGCCCACCTCCTGACATCAGTAGACCTCACTGTCCCCAGCCTCAGGGTGGAGGAGGGGCTGTGTGTGGCTCCTCATCCTAGAGCGGAGGGGGCGAGAGGCACCTGTGCCCACCTCCAAGCACACGCTCACCAGCACACTTCCAGTGCCTCATTGGGACGGAGACCACGGCTGGCAGGGGGGCCCTCTGACTCAAGGCTGGGAGAAAATCGAGAGCAAAAGTGGGAATCCTTGGATAAGCAGTTGCAGAGGTGACTGGAAAGGAGAGGCTGAGGCCCCTCGGGACATTTAGCTGGAATGAAATGGCTGAAAAGCAGAATGTCTGCTGGCAGGTTAATGAGACTTTACCTAGGGAGCCAGGTGAGCTGAGGATGGGAAGGGGCCACCGTTGGCCTAGTGGCTGGGATTTCCGAGGGTGTGAGAAGTAAAGGTCGCTTATTTTGTGAGAGACCCAAAGAGGACTGGTTTGGGTCCAGAAGCTTCGAGGGTCAGTAGTCCTAATGCCAGCATTTATGGCTGTGAGAGCCGGTCGCTCCAGGTTACTGTCTTAACTAAGTGATCATGAGTCCATGTCGAGAAGCTTTTCAGAATCCCTGCTGTTTCTTAAAAATATAACATTAAGTCTGGGGAAGTATCTGAGCCTCTGGCTGTCCTTTTTACGATTTGCCATGTGGCTTCGGTGGGCCTGTTCTGTTTTCAGAGCTGCCTTTAAGACGATAAGAAGTTTGTATGCTCTTGAATGCTGCTCCATAAACAACCCGGAGATCTGTTGGCCACTGGGCCGTGCATTTTAATAGAGGGGAATAGTAGTGCAGAGAATCTAGAACAGCAGATTACAAAAAAAAAAAAAAAGTTGTCTCACATCTGAGTGCTTTAAATGGCCTGGCAGGAAATTTGCTGTGGCTGGGACACGGAGGCCTCCCACCATATGTGGCCTGAATTTGACATTTTATAAAGACAGACTGGGCAGAGGACAGTAACAAATAACCATGCTTAATGAGAAAGAGGTAACATTTGCCTCCTCCTGAGTCTAGCCAAGCCCAGTGGAGAAGCAACCAGAAAGGCATCTTGCAGCCAGCTGGATCCGAAATAAGGGAGTCAAAGTGTGTCTTCTCAGCCCCAGATTTCACACTCGAATGTGGTTCCCCGGTGCACTCTTGGAGACCTTGTTTTTCTTGAAAATGGGTCATGGTGCCTGTCCCCTCCCTTTTTAGCTGCAGCGTTGCATCATCTGGACCTGACAGATAGTCAAGATGTATCTCCTTTCTACTCCCACACAAAGGCACATACCTTTGGGTGTTACACCACCTGGGCCACACACCGATGGGGCTGTTGACCAAATCTGGGCAGGTTCCCTAGCACGAGTAGTTAGTCCACCGTGTGTTTACCAGACATCCCGAGACGTGGTTCAGCAGTGAGGAGGAAGGAGCTGGGACTCACAGGGGCAGTGGAGACCCACTGAAGGACCCAAGGCAGACAGAGGCAGCAGAGGATCAGCACTGAGCTGCAGAACCACCTCTGTTTTTCTAGAATTCTTATTTACTCAAGTTTCTTCTAGGCTTAATGTGACTTCTTTCAGAAAGGGTTCTGGCAAGCCTATTTTTCATTTCTTTTTAAAAATCGAGGTATAATTTACAGTGAAATGCACAGGTCTTAAGTATACTGGTCCATGAGTTTTGACAAGTGACAAATGCATATCTGTGTTACCCACACCCCAGCCAAGGTATGGAACATTTCCCTCGGCCCAGAAGATTCCCTGGTCCCCCAGGGGCAACCACTATCCTGATTGCTGTGGCAAGCTTTTTTAAGTACTCATGCAAAATGACACATGTGCATTTGGTCCCAGATAACTGAGTTTGGGGCCACTTATTGTTACTACAGCGTGTAGCGCTCGGTATTCTTTCTTCTTGCAAGCTTTGGCTTGATATTGTAGATTTTTGTAGGTTCTAGCTAGGTGGAGAATCTGGCTTTCTGTATAAAATAACTTTTTTCCTTGGACTGTCTGGTGGTTTTAATTCTTCTGATGGTATGCATCCTTCAATTATAAGAACTACTGATTGTTTTGATGTTCAGACATGATAAACATTCGAGTCTGATTTAAAAGATAACAGAACGGGGTGCCTGGGTGGCTCAGTCGTTAAGCATCTGCCTTCGGCTCAGGTCATGATCCCAGGGTCCTGGGATCGAGCCCCGCATCGGGCTCCCAGCTCAGCGCGAAGCCTGCTTCTCCCTCTCCCACTCCCCCTGCTTGTGTTCCCTCTGTCGCTGTGTCTCTGTCACATAAATAAATAAAATCTTTAAAAAAAAAAAAAAAAAAGAAACTGTCCAACCATTTTCCAAAGTGACCGTACCATTTTGCAGTCCCAACATGATACATGAGAGTTCCATTTGCTCGGTAACCTCCCCAGCACTTGGGTGCTTTTGCCGTATTTTTACATTTTAGCCATTCTAGGGGGTGTTTGGTGGTGTTAATGCACATTTCCCTAATAAGTAATGAAGGTGAGAGTCTTTTCATGTGTTTACGAAACACATAACTTAGAGTTATTTGTATTTCTATTATTATGTTTTGAAAAGATATCTATCTACATTCTTGATACAAGCCCTTTATCAGATATGTATTTTGTAAATATTTCTTCCCAATCCATGGCTAGTCTTCTTACTTTTCTTAACAAGAGCTTTGGAAGAGCCGAAGTTTTTCATTGTGAAGTTCAGTTTATGAATGTTTTTTATGTGGTTTGTGCTTTCGATGTTATGTCTAAGAAATCTTTGCCTAACCTACAGTCACAAAGATTTTCTCCTATGTATTTATCTAGAAATACTGTGGTTATTACATTGAATCTACGATTTATTTTTACTTAATTTGTACACATGGCATGAAGTATGGCTCACGGGTCATTATTTTGTCCCAGCAACGTTTGCTGAAAATATTATTCCATCTCCATTTAATTACCTTGCCATTTTTGTGAAAAATCAATTGAGCATATATGTGAGGGTCTATTTCTGATTCTTTACTCTATTCCATTGATTTGTATGTTTCACCTGAACCACACTGTGGTGATTACGGTAGCTTTTCAGTAAGTCTTGAAATCAGGTAGTTTGAGTCCTCCAGTTTTGTTCTTTTTCAAAGTTGCTTTGGCTATCCTCAGTCCTGTGCTTTTTCTTTTTCCAAAGGATTTTGATTGGGATTCTGTTTAATATGTAGACCAGTTTGGGGAGAATTGACATCTTAATAATGCCTTCTGGTCCATTAATATATCATACCTTTCCATTTAGTTAGGTCTCCTTTGAACTCCTAATGTTTTATAGTTTTCAATATTTTTTATTAGATCTATCCCTAAATAGCTCATGAATTTTAATGCTATTGTCAATGACGGCTTTTAAATTTCAATTGCCAATTTTTCACTGCTAGTATATATAAACACAATTGAGGATTGTAAATGCCTTTGTATCCTGTGACCTTGCTAAGCTCATATAATAGTTCTAGTAGCTTTTTTACAAAATCTGTGGGGTTAGGGTGCCTGAGTGGCTCAGTCAGTTAAGCATCTGCCTTCGGCCCAGGTCATGATCTCAGGGTCCTGGGATTGAGCCCCACGTCTTCAGGCTCCCTCCTCAGCCGAGAGTCTGCCCCTCCTCCCGCTGGCGCTCTTTCTCTCTCCTTGTGCTCACTCTCCCTCTCTCTCTCAAATAAATAAAATCTTTAAAAAAAAAATCTCTGAGGTTTTCTATCTGAAGTATCTCATCATCTGCGAATAAAAAAAAAAAACCCTTTTTCTTTCCAGTGTGCCTACCTTTTATCTCCTTTACTTGCCTGACTGCATTGGCTGGAGCCTTCAGTACAGCTTGAAATAGGAGCAGTGAGAGAAGACACCTTGCATTGTTTTCGGTCTTAGGAAGGTTATGTTTGTTTTGTTCAGTACTGCATACCCATATACTTTGCACCATGCCTGGCATACAGTAGGTGCTCAAAAGAGGTTGCTGAATGAATTAAAACAAAGTTAGCTGATCTACATAGAGATTCAAATAACATTGGTTTCATTAATACGTTGTTCAACCACTGAATCTATGGAGTCACAAGTAAAATTATGTAATGTGTTGCAGGATATCATTTTGAAATCAGGAACCTTTTCAAATATAAAAATGCTCTGGTGGGAATATAGGAATTTAGGGATAAGCTATCTACTTGATGTGAAGGTGACACTGTGCTACATATTTCTCTGATGAATTAATACCTTAATTAACCAAATTAATAGACTCAATTAAAATGCAGTAACAATAGAGCTATTGTTTGCCTCTTCTCTGGGATAGTAAAGTCTGAGAAGTGACAAAACCTGATTTCTACATATTATCAAAATGCTAAGGATGTCCAGTCAGTACTAACCGTATAATGATAGTTATCAATACACAATGCCATCAGGTTACATAACTGACCTGGCAAGAGGCTCTCCAAATGTTTCATTCTCTAGCAATTATAGGAAAAAAAAATTTTTTTAGAAAAACAAAACATAAAAAGGCATTATATATGGATAAGGCATATAGCTGTGCTCTGATTAAAGCTGTCTCAAATCCTTTCCTCAGAATAAAAGAGGAAACAAAGAAAACCATGCATGACATGTATATGTCTGCTCCCCATAATTGTTTTCTTCTGATTTATTTTTATGTTTTCAACATTTAAAACATGAATGTTTCCAAAGCCAAAATTAGATTACAAAATACATTCAGAAAATTCCTTCTTCCATCCCTATTTGACCCTGTGCTCTTTCCTTCCCCATAGATAAGCATTTGAATAACTTTTGGACTATACTTCCGGTATGACTTGCTCACAAATATAAGCAAATACACATATGCATGCACAACCATATTTATATTTCTCTCCCATTTTACCCACCTCCTCCCAAAAATAGCATGCCATTTCACAGTTTGGCACCTTGCTTTTTTTCACTTACCAAAATGTTCTGCAGATCACTCGATATCAGCATGTTAGAAATTCTCCCCATTCCTTTTTGTGGTTCAACATTTTGGAAGCATCTGTGTGGTCCCTTTAAAAATATTAAAGAAGTCATTAAAAGTGAGAACTGTAACTCCTAGCAGAATATAACTAGCTATTTCTAGTTTATCTAAAGCAAATACTCCATTTCTGGACCATTTACCCATGTCACTCACCTCCTACCTCCTATCGTTGGGATGTGTTGGGAGTACAAAAACTGGCTTTGATCATTGACCTGGGTAAATTGTAACGAGGCTTTGGGCTGGAATGACACAGACACTGCAAAAGTAAAATATGCAGCTTCGGGGGAAGGAGACAACTTTTCTTCCTGCTCTCCAGAAGCTTGGATCTGGGCAGAAATCATGACTTCATCAAATAGAACAATATTCATATGAACAAAATTAAATAGCCTAGAAATCAGAGGCTTCCCCACACCGCATCCCCAATGGGCCGTGGAGTAAAATTGTACGAGGCTCAGATGTAGAACGATAAGGGTTGAACTTATATCTAGTCTATTTTTGGGGGGGGTTTCCTATTCATTTCAAAACTAGACACCAATATCCAGGACTAAATCTTTTCCACTAGAACTATCTGTTAAATAAACTGGTTACAAATACATGATAGAGGATAATTATGTGTGTAGATAACTCTATAGTCTTACACAAATCTTTATGACACCTTCTTCCAGATCCTGTCCATGGCTACAATTCAATCTGCTGCCAATGGGCACCTCAAATTAAGTAAATCTGAGTTACAGAGTTATAGAACTGGATGATTTTAAACATGACCTTTTATTCTGTCCTATGCAACAGATATAGGGGTAACTTGTACATAGTCATTTGAGATCAATTCCAGAAAAAAAGTAAGACATACATGTAGCTTTTAGTTTCTCTTTTTAAATTATCTTCCTCAAAAATTAGAGTTAATAATTTTAAACATCAACACAATGGTATACGGCTGGTCATTTTTGAAATTATTTCTGTGAAGAGTAATTTTTTCCATGCTTTGATATTAATAATGCCCACTTGAAATTCTGATGACATTTTGTAAATATTTTTAAAAACTTTTTCTTTTTATAAGCTGCTATATGCACATTGTGTTAAATATAGAAAAGTATAAAAGGAAATTAATCATACTATGAAGCTGTATCTAAACACTGTTAATAGTTGAGCACATTTTCTTCCAGCATTTTTTCTATATGTATATATTTTTTCCTTACACTTTTGAGTGTAGAGTCTGTAAATCTTGCAATGTCCTTTGATCAAAAACTCTATAAATTGAAGATAAAGCTGTACCCTCTGAAAGATAACACTCTGAATCCAATGTGAATGACTTTGTGATCTCTTCTTGGGTTCTGTGTAATTTAGAAAACTCCCCATTCATTATCATCACTTGTTTTTCTGGAGTTATCTTTTCAAACAACTACTAAGTTAAAAAGAGGAAGCAAAAGAGAGGCCAAAAACTCCCTTTGAAATCAGTTCTCTGATTTTGAGTCTTCGACAGAAAAAAATTATCAAATGTCCCATTAACTTTGCCACTGTGTGATTGAAATTCAGAGGCCTCTCAAATCTAAAAAGTGCTCTTTGCCCTAATCAAAGATGACACTATTCAATCACTCATTTAAAAAATACACTTTTAGAATACTCAAACAAGGATGGCAGCCTTTCATTGATTCACTGGAACTTTCTCACTATTTCTCCTTAAGAGGGAAGGCGTGTGTCTGCATTGACCAGCAGCAGCACCAGCAGCAATGTGGCGGGTCCTTGTCCAGAGACCAGCCAAAGCAAACCGGACTTGATGAGTATTGATCGAGGACCTCATCAACCCCACATTCCAGACAAAGGTCAGTGTAATTAGATTGCTTTGAGTAAAACGAGCCCATGGAAACCTAGAGTAACAGAATGGATAAACCCTAAGGTGATATTTGCTTTAGAAAAGAACTCCTTCCCAGAGAATTCCTTTAAATAACAAGCTCTCTTCGTATATATTAAATAAGATTTGACTATATTAAAACACACCTTTCAGAAACTTGCTATGGAGGAGAGTCCTATACACAAGTACTTCCTGTTTTGCTGCAAAGTCCTTTAAATAATATTACTTGACACCATATAACACAATAAATAATTACCAGATTTTCATGTTAATTATAGGGGATGTCATTTGGGGTTACATCAGAGCTACAGGGTGAATTATCTTCTTCTTTCTCAAGGCCTTGTATGGACTGTGTGGAATTTTAAAAGGTCTCTTAAAGGGCATAAAATATGGAAAACATTTAATCTTTTCAAATAAATTGTGAAATGCCTGAGACCAGAATGTTGAGGTCTCTAGCTCGCTATGAACACCAGCTTTACAAAGCTAAATGTGAGGTAATAGGTTCATTCCTAGATGCAAAATTACTTTATTGCTTTTAATAATACATTACTTTAATTCATTATGCTAATTACACTTTAAAAGAATCATGTGCAAGGCGGAGGAGTGCAAAATCATATGAGCAGGATGGCTCTCCTTCAAAAATTAGAAATTTCAAGAGGGCAACAGTGTCGGGGATAAACCAAACACAGGTCCTTCCAAACGCTGGGTTTTGCGCCCGCTACGCGGGTCGCACACCCACGAAGCCCCCTGCACAGGAAGCTCACCCCCACCCCCACCCCCACCCCCACTCAACTATTTTCTAAGAGCAGTTTTTGGTTCAGGACAACATTCAGCAGAAGGGACAGAGATTTCCCACAAACGCCCTGCCTGCATGAGGCACTTTTCCCTCACAGGGCCTCAACCCTGCTGTCCCAGGGCGCTGGTGGAGATGGATGCTGGCTTTGCTGTCAAGCCAGTCTTAAGTTTTAGGTAAAACACTCAGCACAGCTATTCTTTACCCTGAAATCACTGGGGCACGGTATAATAAAAAACAGTGTTTTCTTTCTTCTTTCCCCTTGTTTATCTAAAAGAGACAGACTTTTCGAGTTTGTTGTTTTACAACAGCGGTGGATTGAGGAGACTCTGGGCTCCCTGTTAGCAAGCTGTGCTGGAGGCAGGTCCGAGCGCTCCAAAGGACGGCGGGCCCGGCCTGGGCGCGTGCAGGGAGCGCTCCCCGCGGCCCTCGGCGCCTTTTCCCCTGGGACACCCCGAGAGTGATGCCCCCTTCGCTGCGACCTTTGCTCGGTCTCTGCGCCCGCCCAGAGCGGCACTCCATCTCTCCCGGCCCCTAGTTCCCCAGCCCGGGAGCTGCCTCCTCGGCCCGTCTCCGCCCGCCTGAGGCGGCCACCGGGGGACGGGGTTCGCGCGGCGCTCTCCCAGGGACAGCCGGGGGCTCCCGCTCCTTCGCAGCCCCGCGCGCCTCGATCCCTCCCCGCGCGTCCGCGCTCACGTCCCCCGGCTGCCAGGCTCGCACACGCCCCGGTCACTCCCGGGACTCCGAAGGGACCCCAGTTCCGGGCCCCGCGGGGCGGGCGACAGGGTTCGGTCGCCGAACCCGGGCGTCCCCGGGGCCTCCAGTGGCTCTGTGCCCCCGCCC